ATTCTAAAGATTTTATACCAATTTTTAGAGAACACAGTATAAGATTCTATTTATTTGATGTATTCGTTTTTGAAAGTAAACTTCATAATGTTCGCACTGAGACATACATGCCCAATTCACCTTCTGGAACTCTGGAGAAATCGCGCGAACACCCGGCAGCGGGCGCGGTTCTGGACCTGAGCGCGGACTGCGGCCACCAGAGGGCGGCAGCGCCCCGCCGAGAAGGCCGAGCGGGCCCGGCGCGTGCGGGCGCGTTAACCGAACCCCGCACCCCCGCATCCCGGGGGAAGCAGGGAGTCTCGGAAGGTCTTACAGCGGCTCAGGGATGCGTGTGTTCACCGTCAGCGCGAAGAAGTGGTTCACCTACTTACATGACAGGTTCAGAACCAAGACCCCAAAACATGCCAGGTCCAAGAATCCAGTTACTCTTTCAAAAAGAGGCAGAGCAATGAAACGTTCTCATGAAATGGTGACCCTAACTCCAGGTGCAGGGCCTGACAGCCCAGACTGACCGCGCCGGCGGCAGCGGGGTCATCGGCGAGACCTGGGAGGAGAGGCAGGCCGGGGGCCTGCGCCCGCCCTGTCTCCCCGGGACCGGCCTCTGGCCCCCTCCCAGAGGCCTCAGCTGAGCCCGCCTCGCGCTCTCTTCTTCCGCAGTTTGAACTATTTCTTTACGATTTACAACCTTCGTCTTTTTTTTGGAGCGAGTAGTACGGTTGTCTTTCCTTCAGTTGAGTTCATTTTCCCGGTGTCTCTTCTCCCCGCCCGCATAATGACGGGATTATTGTGTTCACCGTGATTATATGTATGTGGACAGGCGGCTGCCCAGTGGAAGACGTTTCCCCCGCTTTCTGTCGCCTGGCGTACCCGCCTGACTAGGGTAAGGCCGATAGTTTGGGAGAAGTGAGTCCCACAGCTTTCATGTTGTGTTCTTAAAGAAAAGGCCACCTCCTTCCCCTTTTTTCTCTTTCTGTTGGCTGGCATGGAAATGTGATGGAGGGAGCTACAGCAGCCCCCTTGCACCCTGAGGACAGCCTGGAGTTGAGGACAACAGCAACCCGCTGATCATCCTGGATTGTCTACCTGACTCTAATACGAGAGAGAAATAGCTCAAGGGATTAGAAAGATACAGCTCTTGCCTTTAGCTCTCTTAAGGATGCACCTAAATAAAATGTCAGGAAAATTGTATTAGCAAAAGCAAATCAAGGAGGAACGTGACAGTGCACCCTGCGACTTGCAGCAAGCTTCACGGATGTGCGTACTGAACTGCAAAAAGTGGAAATAAGTCACAGCAGGCCGTTCTGAGCCGTGCATGCTGCAGCCTCCCCGTTGTGTAAACTCCCTGAGCACGAAGACCACGTGGACATCAGGTTCCCGGG